CCTTCAAAGTAGGCCCCTTGTGACTCCACACACTTAGCCCAGCGGTCCTTCCATCTCTGGAAGCAATTCTGGAAGGCTTCTTTTGGAATGGTGTGCAGCTGCGCCTATGCGTTCTGTATTACGTCCTCGCGGCTGTCAAAACGGCAGCCTTTTAGTGGTGTCTTCAATCTCGGGAACAGCCATAAATCACAAGGAGCCGTGTCAGGAAAGTAGGGAGCCTGGCGAACCTGCGGAATGCCATGCTTGGCCAGGAAACCCAGGATCAGGTGCGATGAATGAGCTGGGGCATTGTCATGATGCAGCTGCCAGTTGCGTGCATCCCACAGCTCTGGTCTCTTGTGCTGAACTGCATCACAAAGATGGCGGAGGACATCTTGGTAGTACTCCTTATTGACAGTCTGGCCTAGTGGTGCGTACTCATGATGCAAAATACCCCAGTAATAAAAAAAAACTGTCAGTATCACCTTCACATTTCTCCGAACCTGTCGTGCTCTTTTGGACCTCGGGAATGTTGGATGCTTCCATTGTGACGCCTGGACCTTGGTTTCCGGGTCATATCCATACACCCACAACTGATCGCCAGTGATCACAGTCTTCAAGAACTCAGGATCCCTGTTGGTGCACTCCAGCATGTCCTGCGCGACCTCAAGGCGGAGTTGTTGCTGCTCCGGTGAAAGCAGCTTGGGCACAAATTTTGCCACCACTCTTCACATGCCCAAATCCTCAGTTAAAATTGTGTTTGCGGAACCTCTCCTGATCCCAACCTCATCAACAACTTCACGGATGGCCAAACGATAGTCCTCCATGATCAGTGTCCGCACTTTTCAATGACATCAGCATTTTGACTCGTTGACAGTCTCCCGGAACGCTGCTCACTGTCCGCCGACGTACGGCCATGTTTAAAGCGGTTGAACCACTCTTTAATTTTAGTGACTCCCATTGCATCATCGCCGAAAGCCTGCTGAATTTTGCAAATTGTTTCCACTTGGGTATCCCCAGGTTTCTGACAAAACTTAATGCAGTATCGCTGCTCCAAGCGTTCTGTCATCTTGAGCGAAACAAGAATGCGACGAACATGTGTTACACCACTTCACTATCTGGCAGTGTTGCAAGTCAGCAAAAAATCGTGCATGCGCATGAAAGTCTCTTCTACCACTACGCTCAGTTCCCCACCCCTTTGGCCATAACTTACAGCGGAAAAAAATAAAGTCGGATACTTTTTGGACATATGGTGTGTAAAATTTTCTTGAAAATAGTAGAGCAAACTACATTATAATGAAACCCACCATGTAAGGTTTGTGTGAGTAGTATAGCATTTGAACATTAAATTCAGTAAAATCTGAAAGGGAGGGAATCGTGATCACTGAAATTGAACATTAAATGAAAGGAACTATTAAACTGAGGAACATTAAATGCGGGTTCTGCTGTAAATTGGTTATATCTGAAGCTGTAGGAAATTGACTAGGTGAACACACATTTAAAACAGAAGTGGTAGTAGTTACTATAGGATTCTGACGATGGTGTATAACGCACTGATATATTGGGTCTTTGGACTTTATCCATCGTCCTGGTTTTTAAGATAACTAATAAAAACACGACGTCCAGTGATTGAGGCTAGCTCTTTCTAACGGACCCAACAGAATAGGTGTTTTCCTTCACCTGAGGACGGAAACAGATCCAGTTTCCGAAACGTCGTGTTTTTATTAGTTATCTTAAAAACCAGGATGATGGATAAAGTCCAAAAACCCAATATATCAGAAGTGGTAGTGTCTGTTAAAGAAGACATGGGTGGTTCAAATGGTACTAACTACCCAACATATTTTCACCTTCTGTATCCATTTTTGTCTTCTTTTAGTGAAACCAGAAAATGAGCAAATGTGAATATTTTTCAGAGGTGTTCTTTCTTTTGTGTTGCCACAGTTATACCTGCTGCTCCTGCAAGTTGAGGATCTAACAAGTTCGTTGCCTGAAGTGAAGCAATCAGTGACTGAAGACAAGGTGGATCTTCTGCGTAAAATTGTATCTTCATTGCTTGTAGAAGACCGATTGAGCAGTTTAATGTGTGTCCACAAAGGAAAGGTAAAGTACCTTAACCCTCTCACGCGGTGATTTAAATTCCGCGGCCGTCTCTCCGGCGGTAATATATTCAGCCAGCCANCCTTTTACACGGTTAAGGTGTCACTGCAACTTCAAATTGCTTCCTGCCTTGGTAAATTAAGTGTGTGTAAAATATCCTTGAACTGGAATATTTAATTAAAAGACATACTGGTCTGCAGTGTATTAATATTCCCAAGTTTAAGGTTTCCTCTCATTTAACTCTCATTTTCAGTTTTAAATTTCTTCCTTGTAAGATCTTCCCTGATTTAATGTTCAGATCTGCTGATCTCCATAGGAACTTTAAATTATTGTTTTGCTGAATTGGCATGACCAACTTTCCTCTAGGTTAGAATATTTTGTTTTTTCTGCTTCAGCAGTTGAAAAAGAACTGAATAATAGGTAGTTAGTTAGTTACTTAGTTATTTAGAGAGGGTGGGTTTCCCCATGCACCGCTACCAGTTTGATCTGTTGTGCTTCCCTCTGTGTTATTGTACCAGTCTTTATACCCTACCGATAAATGGTGCATACCATCAGTCCCGCCGAGCAAGCGAGTTCGGCCACTTGCTTAGCGGTGTCTATAGTGCTTCCCCCATCTATCAGAGGCCTTAGAGACTATTGTTGGGTGGGAACCGTCCTGGAATTTGGCTCAGTGATCCCCTTTGGGGATATGAGGTTCTTTTACGTGCCATAAAGTTACGACACGGGACACACAGCTTAAAGTCCCTCCCGGAGGACTTGTTCCCTGAATTTTTCCGCCCTTAAAAATTCGACAACCTCTGCCAGGTATTTGAACCCGCATACCACGAGTCATGAGGTGGGAACGTTACCTCTAGACTACGGAGGCCGCTTGAATAATAGGTATATAGTATGTTATGGATAGAATTCTTCTACTGGTTATAGAAGTTCAGTTGTTTGTCTACGAATTCTAAACTTAAATTATAAGTTTCATTTTTTACTGTAAGCTGTACTATGAAATCTGACGAGAGTGACTGAAATATAATATTTCTTGTTTCTGAAGTTTCTACTGTTACGGGTGCTGCCACATCTCATGGCAGACATTGAGGAGGAATGCCACTTGGTACAGGTGTGGAGTACGATATTCCGAGGGCTTGTAATCATTGGAAAACGGGACCAAGCAAGTGGAGAGTCCCTTCTTCCTCGTTTCTACCCACATTTTAAGAAATGGTTAAGTCAAAATCAGTTCCCTGCGCTCCTGGAGGTAGCACGTAGTCTGATACCAGATTCAAGGGACTCACCTAGAACTGCATCTCCTATAACAGCTTCACTACCTGCCAAGAGTGTGCTTGTATATGCACTAGGCAACAAGGTAAGTATGTCCCATATTTACATATATTTACCTAATTTATCCTCTTCTGTCTCCATGTTCTTTATTGTCTCCTCCATTTTGCTCTTTTTTTTTTAATTCATCTTCCTGCCATTTCCTCTTTTACTGCAGCTTCTTTTTCTCTTATTCCCTCCCTCCATCTTCTTCCACTATGCTCATATTTTGTTCAAATTATATTTGGTGTATCAAAACAATTTCTGAACTCGGTATTTTGCGGGAGGTGAACGGGGGGGGGGGATTGCATCGCCTGGCCTCTGAACACCTTTGTAACATCTGGATGGTCTGGGAAGCAACAGAGGGGGTTGTGGTTAAGTATAATATTTGGGTTGCATCTAAAATTGCTAACAACTGATGCTGAAGTCAAAGGTTGCTCAAAAACTCTCTAGAACGTTTGTGAGGGGTGAAATGCCTATTAATAGGAGGTCTGAAGTTCTAATGCCAGCTATGGTTCAGTTTAATGCAGCACATAGCAGACAAGTGAGCAGTGGGTCAGTGTTCAGTTAGTCAGTGCCATAAGTGGCCTCCATAGTCTAGGGGTAACGTTCCCACCTCATGACTCAAGGTACACGGTTTCAAACCCAGCAGAGGTCGTGGAATTTTTAAGGGCAGAAAAATTCAGTGAACAAGTCCTCCGGGAGGGACTTTAAGCCATGGGTCCCATGTCTTAGATTTACAGCACGTAAAAGATCCTCATGTCTCTAGGAGACCTCTGAGCAAAATTAGGCAAAGTTTCCTGCCCAAATAGTTTTCAATGCATCTGGTAGATGGGGAAATAACGGGTACCACTGCCAGCCTCACTGGCTGAACAGCGCTGATAGTGAGCACCAGTACCGGCAGGGTATGGCGACTGGTAGAATATCAAAGGGGGACATACATAGACTATTAGTCGCGGTGCATGGGGAACCCACCCCCTCCAATAATAATAATAATAATAATAATAATAGTCAGTGCCGTGACTTAGTTCAGTGCAGTCCAGAGAAGTTGAGAGAGGAGGTGAGTTTAGTGAACAAGCAGAAGCATTGCTAGGAATGAGCAAACAGAGGACTAATCTTGAGAGTATAAGTGGTTAGAGACAGTGGGACAGTAATTTCTCCATAAATCAATAATTATCACATTTTTCTCTTTTTATACTTAAGAGTTTAACAGCTATTCCATCCTGTCATTTGAAGTACTCGAGCAAGCTATTGTTGTGAGTCCAGCTATTCTGCCATCATTGGAAGTGCTTATTATAGTGCCATGTTTTGAATTCTGCAAGCAATTTTTCTTTGATTGATATGACATCATCAAGTCAAACCCTGAAATACAGTTAACTACCTCTCTTTAGTGTTGTCTGGTTACAAGCTTTTCGTATCTTAACCCTTATTATACTAGAATAAGGAATTTTAGATCTCCCAATACCATGGGATTGTAGTCAAATATAAAATTGGGCATAATTATTATTAGTAGGCATGTACAAGAGTGGCTTTTTCAGCTGAAATTGAGAATTTGGAAGAATTCTGAGAATGAAATTTTAAATTGGGTGTTCTGATTGCTAGTAAGCATATGTGAGAATGACTTTCAGTTCAAGATAAGAATTTTGGAATCAAAACAAGTACAAGAATTTTCTCTGGTAGAGCAATTTCATCATTGAAATAATAACAGTGGCCACTTTTTCATTGCACTACCATAATTACCCAAATGGAAAATGACTCCAGACATTAGATGACCCTGCATGTCTGCACAGTAAGAGTAAAAGTAAAAAGTAAGTAAAGCTATCCCTGTACCAGGCTGTGAAGGCCCATAGGGTTGTGAGACGTTTAGGGTCCCACATTGTCTAGACAATCAGCTCAAAGATGGTAATAAGGTTGTCAGCCCTACGCGCCAGCCGCGCTTTACTCCCCAGGAAAATTATTTAATTAATTCCTGGTACTCATTTCTGTTAGAGGCTGAGTAAACCCCAGGGCCTAATGTGGCTGGAAAGATTAGGTCAACTGAAAAAAAATCCAATGACCTCATCGGGATTATGATTTAATTTCATACTCTTACTACAAACATGTGAAAGAAAATATATATTTTTATTTACAGGTCATACGTGGCATTTTGTAGTTCCCATATTGAAGCCAGTAGTTTTTATTCAGCTATCATAAACTGGAGGAGGTCCCAGAGGCCAAGGGCAAGATGATTACCCTCGCCCTCAATCCCATAAGAGGTTAAACAGTTCTGTCGAGTGTGACTAGTAAAGATTTTTCTTATTTCAATCCTTCTTCCCTTACATGTTTCAGTCTTTACAGACCGTCCTCAAGAGGTACATCAATACAATCGGAAGCCACTATTACAATATGTTTTGAAGGTTAAAATATGTGCATATAATGTCGATAAAATACAATGGATATAAAATCTAAAGTTTTTAACAGCTACATTGGCTGTCTTAATATGTTAAAATATTTACAATTAGTTTGTTAAGATTTTTTTTTGGGAAATTATAAACCAAGTTAGTTTGTGTCCTATTTATTATTTCTTCTCCTGGTGGAGGCCAAACAGCTGCCTCCTTGTAGTTCTTGAGAAGAGGATTCTGTAAAGTTGTCCTGCAGGTGTTCGTGGCACGCTGTGTTGTTACTAAACTGCCAACAGTCTGTTATGAAAACATGATACGCCATCCCTGTTGCTAGGCAGTGGCACAGTAAACACTCTGTGTTATCGTTCAAGTGAAGCATTGCTAGACAACAAATAAACATGCAACAGTAGAAGAACTGTTGGAAGCCATATTTTAAGAGCTGCAGATTTTAGCAACCTAAAATTTTACAAAGTAGTATCTCTCCAATTCTTTGCAATGTTCCCAGTGCTTCCCATTGCTCAAAACAGTTCTTAAAGACCTGAACAGGAATGTCTTACATTTTTTTCACTGATGATTTCATATCTTCAACGTCCAAGAAAAGCTTTCCTTTCAGTACACTGAGGTCTGGAAACAGCCAGAAATTAGCTGGAGTCAAATCAGGAGAGTACAGCTAATGATCCATGGCAGAGATGCCTTTACCTGTTAAAAACTGCTACACCCAAAATGTAGAATGTGCCAGTGCGTTGTGGTGAAGAATCAGTGAGCACTTTCTCCACAGTTCTCCTCTCTTGCACCTCACGTCATCAATAAGCCTTCTCAGCACCTCCACATAGAATATTTAATTAACCGTATTTCCTTCAGGTACAGATGCAAAGTAGATGATAGCCCTGATGTTGAAAAAGCAGATCAACATTCTTTTGACCTTGTACTTCGAAATATGTGGCTTCTTTGGCCTGGGGATTCACTATAAACCGTTTTTAACATATCTGACATTTCACATGACCATTTCTGCAATTTAACACAAAGATTCGCATTCATTCTGTATTCCGTTGTATAATCCATTTTCACATCTGGACAAAGCTTATGACACACAGTGATCAAACGAACTACTGTTCAAGAAATACTGAATGCAGCTTAGCCATACTTTTCATGTGAGCTCTGTCTTGTTGCGTCACTTAACATTCCATGCAACAGGGTTGCCAGATACTCTGGTGTGAAATAAAAAGTGAGTCTCGAAACTTGTTGCTTGAATGTTCGTGTTTGGTGGGGGGGTTGGGGTGTTCCCTCTCTCCCCTCCCCCCACAAGCAATATAAGTTTACTTTTCACTTTTGTAGTGTATTTGTTCCTTTCAGTTTAGCATGTTTTTATGTAATGTTTTTAATTGTCATGACTAGTTTGGAGTTTCCTCACTGGCTGCGATGATGGTACGTGGTGAAATGTTGTATCCCACTTTGGAGGAGAAGCAGTGCCATGAGTGGTCATCGTTCATTACAATCCTGGCAGAAACAGTGGGATCACTTCCTTCTTGTAAGTCTCTTCCCACACCTATTGAGCCAATGGACACCGCATTATTGAACCAGCACTTGGGACGTTGCAGTAACTTGCATATTGAGAAGTATGCAGCGTTAGAATGTGCTTTTACAGGACCTCAGAAAGTTGAAGTAGAAATCAAAGAAAATAAGACGGACTCATAAGAGTGAATTTGATTTTGTGGTAATCTGAACTAACATGATGTTTGCTGTACTTGGCCGAATGGGTACTCTGGTTGTTGCTATTAGTAATCGTTATGAAACTACACCTTTCAGAGAAAACTGTGATGATCCTAAAAGAGTGTTGTGTTAGAACAACAGTTGACAGTCCTCACAGAATACATGCAGGTGCTTTCTTTAAATTTGGGACCTCTGGTGCCATATAAAAATTATATTAAAAATCAGTATTACAGTCAATACTTGTCTCCTGCTTAGTTGTGTTTTTATGAATTGCACACAAGTTTTGAATACTTATTTAAAGAAAGCATTTGATCAATGAATATTGGGTACTGACATTCAGGAGACCTCTGAGAAAGAAGTATAGGAACTTTGTTGTGACTCATCAGTTTGAACCGACTATTATGATCCAAGAGAAAATGTAAAACTGCAGTTGGAGATCCATACCAAGCTGTTATTACTTTTTTTGGGGGGGGAAGGGGATCTTTCTTCCTCTGCTAAGCCTTATGATTTGAATGTGAAAAAACAGGGAACAGGGCCTTACACACAGTTTCTTAAATAATTTATAAGAATTGAAAAGATGAATTTTTTAAATGAACACAATAGTGACGATTATGTATTTTATTTATTTCTTAAATGTATTGGTGATATTCCTAAGAAAAGTTCTCATTTTAGTTCATATTCGATGTGTAACAAGGTGTTGTCTCTGAAAATTGAAGAACCATTTTTTTTTAATTAATCACCTGTTTATGTAATATTCATATACCAAATTCTGTATTTAATTTCCAGTATGAAAAGAAATTCCATAATTTCACATCTCCATGTTCCTTCTTATTGTATCACAGTTACACTATGAGGCATGTCCATAATTGAATTTCATTGCTTTATTCTTCAGTGAGTTACTAAATTGCTACTCTGAAATTCTCTATTCATTTTTTTTGTAAGAGTATTTGAGCTTTAATCTATGTAGAATGTAAGATACATATGGCCTCAGAGTTCCACAATTTAACAGAATTTGAATTATTCCATAAGTCTTATGTAACAGCATAGGAGCATACATATTTCATAGCCTAGACACATCATTCAGATATGCACACTTTATTCAATTTATGATCCATTATAAAGGGCGAAATAATATTTCATATTCAGATCTTTTTATTTTAAAAAAATTTCTTTATCATGTAAAGCTTGCAATATTGAGTACATTTTAATTGACATATGCATCCAGAGTATAACTTTGGATGTGTAGTAGTTTTCTCGGGATGTGTCATACAGTGTGGGAACTTAATATGGTATTATATTCCCAAACACAGTAACTGAGCATTTGTTACTTGTGTGCTACTGGCCTGTTGCAGTGTAATTCATTTAAAATGACTCTTTTTATAATATGTGAGAATTATTACAGAAGTACTTACTTTTTTCAGCGACCTTGGTATCAAACTGATTTTTTGTTTTGTTGAAAATTTTTCCATTGAAATAAACTACGCTGTATTGAATTACAATGTTTGAAATGTTTTACTTTTCTTCTTTCCTTTTTTTGGACATTGTAAATAAGAAGACATGTTTTCAGTTGCATGTGCCAACAGATTTTCTTATGATTTTTTTGTTCTGTGAAAGAATAGAGCCAATTTTTCATTATTACCTTTATGCATTACTTTTTGCATTGTACTGTGATGTTATGAAAACAGAAAATATTGTGTACAAAATTTGTAATACTTGTTTTCATAGATGTTTCATAATTATAATGAACTGTGTATAAGAAATGTTATCAGGAACTCAATAAACTCATTAGGAAGGTTTTGGACTGAAACAATGTGAATAAAAAATTTAATTAATCATACACAGCTGTATTATTGTACCCCGACTTGTTTGTATTATTTTTCAGGTTTCACAGCATTTGGCCAGACACCTGTCAGATTTACTGTCTGGTACGTTCAACCCCCTAACATGGGCCTTTTGCGGACCGCTTATGGAACCCCTTTCTCAACGGTTTGGTTTTCCCGCTGCAATGCAACGAAACCTCTTTTGCTTAGGAAATGCTAGCCTTACTCAGTACACCTTGTAGAAGTGTTTGGTTTTATCCGTTGTTGCGGATATGCCTATGCGATGGCCCACTGTTCTTGCGTTTCCATGGAAGTATCACTTCTGGATTTCCAACATGCGGCATTATGTTGCAGGATGTCTATTCTTCCTATCCCCATATCATGGTTGTATTGTGCCCCACTGATTTGTGTTCACAAAAATACACAAGATACAAACCAAGAAGTATGGCATGCTAAATGGGTCACAAAACAGCCTCAGTACAGGGAGAGGAAGAACAGACTTCCCAAAACAATAATAATAATAATAATAATAATAATAATAATAATGACACACGTTAAGAATACTATTGACAAAAGTACACAGTGCAGTGGAGTCCTTAAAAAAGTGTGTTACCTGAGGATGGCCCTGTGAGGCCAAAATATCTAGTGCGTAACATATATATATTTTAATGACATTTTAAATATTTTGTCAAACATTTTAGTGGGTTTAAATGTTGTTTAAAGGTTGTTTGAGAACAGGGCGTTGAGAATATTTGGATCAACAAAGTACATTTTTGCTAAAACGAATTAAAGCTTAAGTTCGTAAGTTAGAGGACTTTACATGGTAATTTTGTTTTCCATTTAAGAATTGACACCTTATGACAGGTTTTTACACAACAAATTTCCCTTGCAGATCAAGGGTACATTGTTGAAAACAGTTTTAGGCCTCGGGAAGGCCGTGCCATAGCTCAAGTGGTTAGTCACTGCCTTCCCATCGCAGCGGCCCGGGTTCAATCCCGGGTCTGGTCAAGTGGGAATTGTGGACAAACTGGCCCTGGGGCAGGTTTTCTCCAAGTACTTCAGTTTCCCCTGCCAATCTTCATTCCACCAATTGCTCCACAATCACCCTCACTTATCATCTGGGGCTGGTACAATAGGCCAGAAGTGGCCACAGTACAAGGGACTTAGTCCCACCCCACTAGCAATAAAGGGAAAAAAAAGAAATAGGCCTCAGGAGCAAATTTTTCATGTGCAGCACTTTTGAGCATTGAGGGGAGCACACGTTCCTAAGCAATGATACATAGCCGGCTTCAGACCGTGACAGCCTGGGTGAAGTCACGTGGGATTTGTAGTGGACAAAGAGGCACTGGAGCTGGTTTTCTTCGAGTACTTCGGTTTCCCCTGCCAATTCTAATTCCATCGTTTGTGCCACAATCATCATCAATTATCTGAGATTGGTACAATAGACCAAACAGTGGTCGCAGTACAAAGTGGACTCAGCTTCATGAGTTCATGAGAAGTAATGATACGTATACCTTTAAGACACGGTATTGTATACATTAATGACCTTAATGAAAACCCTCCGGGTTGAATACATAGTAGCTTTGGGGGAACGAATACAGTGGCCTGGGGTGTTCTTAATGTAAACAGGAAATCTATTGGTACACATGAAGCACATAACTGGTTGAAACGTGTGAAAATTGCTGCATGATTTGGAATGAAACAGTTTCATGTTTCTACAAAAAGTTTATTCCTTAAATAAATAGAAATGAGTTATTATCAAAGTTTAGTTTGTTTGTGGAGAGTACTTATTTTAAATAATATTTCACCTCGCGTTACGTTCAACCGCGAATACTTTGAAGGTTTGCCAACTTTGAAGTACTCGATGTGTGTATGGATGGGTTGTATGGAGGGTGCAGTGTGCTGAGTCTTTGAATTACTAGATGTAAATTTCGTTAATGATTTTTTATGTTTTTATAGTTGTGTACAAAAGTTAAATAGGGGACTCGTTATCCTGATTATTGAATAATGTAAGTCAAATTTCATGATGCTTGAAGCTGTTAAATTGCCAAATTTTCTAAATTCAGTCCATTTTAAAACTACTAATACCCACTTTGCATTACTTTGCCTGTTGTTTTGTGTTCAGACTGTGAAGTAAGAATGATAATATTCTATCCGTATTGTTGAATGTAAGGCTTTCAGCATCAGATGTCAGCGAATGAGAATAAATGGCATGAAGTATGACGGGACTCTTCCTAACCTTACTTTTTCAACAGCTCTTTGAGCTCGCAATCTGGTGACATTTAGCTTCTTCTTTTTTTTGTAGGGACGGAGTTCAGGATTTATTATCCCTGTAATATAATTTTTCAGACTAGTTTTATAATTCTGTTTCCATAAGTGTTTTTCATAAAATATATTTTGTAACTTGTAGGTTTACTTCATCAGACTCGTGCTGGTCCTGACAATGTATGAAGAAGTTAAAAAGAAGAAGAAAAATAAACGTTAGTGAGCTACGACTATTCATCTTATAGCAATGTCACGTCAAGATAAAAGCAAATCGAGTGGATTTGTAAGTACTATGCTTTGTTGTCTATGTATGTGTCTTCAGAGAAATGACAAAATGCTTTAGGACCAGTGACATTAAACAGAAGTAAAATTTTGTGATAGATTTGGAGGTTTGTAAAGGATAGATCAGTTGTATTTGCAAGTAAAGCCTGAAGCCTGAGGCTGGTATTCATGGTCACTATTTTGTAAAGTTATGTTGTTTTCTTGAAGTACACGCAAAGTTCATGTCTGCATATGACACACCTGTTTATATCTTCATGTCTCACCAGATAATAATTTAGCTAGGTGTGATATACCTTGAATGCTGTGTTCAGTTACTTGAATGTTTTGTTATTATTACATTGTTTACCAGTGGATGCATGTAGCTGTAATAGTGAAGTTAAATAATTTCCTTTGCCTGTATTTGTATGCATCTTGCATTTTCCCAGTAACTTTGAAGTGCATAATGGTAGGCTACTTCAGTTTAATTTCACTTCACATACGTCAACTTAGCTTTGTAGTACGTCAAATCTAAAATTCTAATTCAGTGTTAATTTTGATTTTAAAAAGTCATAGAGGCCCATTCTAAAAAGGCTCAAAACATGGCTAGAGTATTTTACCTACATTACCAACATCAGTATAATGATGCACATATTTTACCAATTTATTGTGTATTTCATGATAACATGCATGATTCAGCTGTGGTAACAAGTACACACAGAGACTTATGAAGTTGGCAACTTGCTTAAACTGTTTGCACATGTGTAGAATGTGGAGAATGTTGTTTTATACACTGCAAACTTCTGTAAATAGACCACTGATTGAATTTAATATTACTTTGTACACATACATTTTATTTTGGCTACTTTAAAGGCACGGCAGTTTTTGACCAATGAATTAACTAGTGTTGCTTAACAGGTATTGTTTTTATGTGGTATACTGCTGAATTTTGTGTCCAAAATGAATCTGGAGCCCATCTTAACTCCTGTTCAGTAGCACATGCAGCTGTTTCTGGAACGTATTGTTGAAGATCCAAGACTACCTAGAACTGGAGTGAGAATATGTGATGCTTTGCGTCTGTGCCCCCTATAATTCTTCACAGCATGGTGCCTAGGCACAGGAACAGTTTAGTGTCACAGGCAGTGAAGAGATGTAATAATAGAATGGAGAAAACATAATAAAGGGCTTCATAATTAGTGTTCTGGTATATTTAGAGTAAATACATCAGACAGAATAAGAAAGCTGGAACATTTTTCTTACATCAAGTAGGATGGGAAAAGCAAGGTGTGTCATGTTAAAGATACAAACATTAAATATTATATATGATGTTGGTTGCATGACTTCAAAGGATAATACTGTAGAGAAATGGGTTATTAATATATAAATTGTATTGATGAAGCTTAGAATAGGATCCAGTGGGGACTTTTGTGACAGTTGTGATGAAATACCCATGAAACCTTTGCCATGGAGTTTGTGACACTTATTATTAGTGACTGCTGTAAGGAATATAAAAATACTTTCCGCACCTTACTGACTGTCAGTCCCATAAGTTCTGTCAGCGATGTGGGAACTATTGCTGTACAGCTATATAGAAGAGTACTGTGCCACTCTGATAGGGAGTGTTAGCTATATCAAGGTGGAAGCTGTGTCATGATTTATTAACATGACGACCAGCTGAATCAGTAATCCTTGTAGACAAATGAATTAATAGAGCAGTGGCATAGTTGGTTGAGGCACTATGCTAAAAGTCGGAAGGTCATGAGTTCAAGTCCCAGTGAAGTGGATTTTTTTCAACTTACCTAATCCTTCCAGCCATACTATGGCCCTGGGGTCAACTCAGCCTCTAACAGAAATGAGTTCCAGGAATATTCCTTGGGGGGTAAAGTGAGGCCGGCACATAAGGCTGACAGCTTCACCACCAATCTGTGACCCAGTTGTCTAGAGTTACATTGATAGCTTTACTTTTTTATGATGGCTAGTTGAATTTCTTATATTTATTTGTATTTCCAGTATCTAGGATAATACACTATCATTTATATTTTTATGTATGTTGCGTACATAATTAGTGTGTATGCATTTTCAGTGATGAAAACAAAGACTTCTGTTCCTCCATTTCTTCCTTCTCCAACCTACATAGCCTTCTCAGGCTGATGCATTATTTTAAAATTTACTACAGTACGAGTAGTTATGACTGCACTGACCAGGCAGCAAATTATCACATTCTCAGTTGCAATCTTCGTTTCTGACCTGACGCCTGACTGAATATGGAGTAAGGAGGTTTTTTGTTGGTTAATGATATACATGACATAGTGGGAGGTTCCTGTCAAACTTGTAGGCAGCATTCCTTGGGTCAGTTTGAGCTGAAATAATCAAACATTCCCTTGTCAAAAATTTAACTGTTAGGAGATGAAGCTGGGAGAAGGTGTAAAGAAAGTGAATTGCTCCACTGTATTGAATGTATATCTGGCAACACTGTAAGGTGGAGAAAGGAGCATTTGCACACCACACTGTGCAGGTTAGTGCTTGTGGGTAGCCCGTCTACTACTAGTTCAAGTTGACACATTATAAGATATAGTTGTGTTAGTTCACTGATGTCATGCCAGTTGCACTGTCAGCACTAATGTGAAGTGCAGTTATAAAAGTGGCCTTCACCGTTTCTTGCTGTCGATACAGTGGCAAGCAGTTCATTTATGAATTCTTCAATATCTGTGTATGCACTGCTGCTGAGGAGTACTGTAGTTAGTTTCCCAATTGAACTCCAAATGGGAACGTATGTACTAATGTTGGGCCGTGCCACAGCTCAAGCAGTTAGTTGCTGGCTTTCCACCGCGGCGGCCCGGGGTCGATCCCGGGTCTGGTCAAGTGGGATCTGTGGTGGACAAAGTGGCGCTGAGGCGGATTTTCTCCAAGTACTTCAGTTTCCCCTTCCAATCTTCATTCCACCAAATTCTCCATCATCATAATCACCCAGGGCAGGCTACAATAGGCCAATCAGTGGCTGCCGTCCCGAGTGGACCCAGTTGGACTCCACCCCCCACTAAGCAAAAAAATGTACTAATGTTCACTGAATGCTGTGTGAAACTGGTTCACTTCAAAGTATTTGTGTGCCATCTGAAAGGGCAGTACTGCCAAATGTGAATGTACAAGGTATGGTACCATAACATCCATGATTAAGTGCTTGTAGAATTACCAGTTACGTTAATGTGCACCACATTAATGAACACTAAATAAAGCTGATGTGTATCCGTATCATAGCCACAGGGTCCAGCATATTGATCCTGGAGACCTTCCTTCATACTTGGATTTCTGAAAGTGGTCCAAAGAACACTCACAGCTGATAAGTGTAATTTCATTCATGGATGAGGCCTTCACTTCATGGGACAGTGTCAGTAATAACACATGAAATGCTTATGCATGGTCACATGTATGTCCATATGTTAATGGGAGAATATTACTTCCAGAGAGGATTCTCAGTGAATGTGTGGTATGTTATACTTGGCAACAAGTTAATTGGACCGTTCCTCTTGAATCACCATATAACAGGAAACATTTATGAAATGTTTGTGAGAAATGAATCGCCAGATCTGTTAGAAGGTGACCCATTAATAACAAGATGTATGATGTGCCTGCAGCGCAATGGAACCCCCCAGCATTTCCATATTTTTGGATGGGTCATGATGGACCCTAGACATGGGTACCAAGGTTTCCAGACCTTGACCCTGTTGATTATTATCTCCGGGGCCATGTGACCATTTTAGGTAATTTGACAGAGTTTGATTGGAACTGGCTTTTATACTGATGTCAGGGACTATTCATTAAATTAACATTTTTAGTCCCCATCAAATTTTGAATGCCTGAACCAACTTTTTTAAAACTTAGTATGTACGAGGGGGTACCCAAAAGAAACCGAACTTATTTTTTTTAAACTTATTTATTCAAATTTTAAGCACAAACCTTCAATCCCCTTCAAAGTACTCTCCGCTTACACTAATACACTTGTCTAGTCTTTTATTCCATTTTTCAAAACATTGTTGTAAATTCATCTTTTGAGATGCTTGACAGCGCCTCCGTCGTTTTTTCCTTTCATGTCTCTTTTAATTCGAGGAAACAAAAAAAAGTNNNGTGGAAGGACGACCAGAACGAGGTTTGTCATCAATTGACATTTCACCATTTTTGAAACGGGAAAACCACTCAAACACTTGAGTTTTCCCCATAGCATCGTCCTTGTACGCCGTTTTTAACATTTCAAGAGTTTCTGTTCGACTTTTCCCGAGCAAAAAGCAGAATTTCACCGCCGCACGCCGTTCGCCAAAATCAGCCATTGCAAAAACGACGATCACACAAAACAGTTGTCACTATAAACTCTGCCAAAACTAGTCCTTACCTTCTGAAGCAACGGTAGTCGGCTTATCGACTCAGGAATGTTAGCTCTATGCGCTCATAGCGGCAAAACGCGGTACTACAAAAGCTCTGCCCACAAAAAAATTAGTTCGGTTTCTTTTGGGTACCCCATCCAATATCATGGCACCTGAGCCCATCTGAATGGCATACTTCATAAATTCCTCCAATTAGTCTGTGTCTGTATCCTTCTGTCATTACTAGGCAATGACTTAGTTAAAACATTACCATGGCAGTGAATACATACACAACAGTAGAGAATTGTTGGACACGTTTTCTGTGTGGTCAATGTTGTATCAAAAGAAACAAGTAGGTGATTAGTTCCTCCCAGAACTTCTTGTAGAGAAGAAAGTTCAAACAGATAAAGCTGCAAGCGTCATGTGTCTTATGCCTCTTATTCATCTCTGTTTAGTGCTGAGGTTTAGAATGTTTGGGATGGCTATGTACAGGAGCAACTTCATTTGACCTTTATATAGTATTCACAAGATGAGTTCCTTTATTAAACCTTCATCCTCTGCGCGTCCTACAACTGTACGAGTGCATGTGCTAGTTTAGATGGCCACAGTAAGCCTAATTATTTACAGAAGTGGTACCCAGACTGGACTGTACCGCTTTCTGGGGGGTGGT